TTAGGCCTACAACGTTTTTTTCTAATTGTTTTCTCCCTACTCAGATCCAATTCAGAGCAAGTTTTCGCACACACAGATGTATATGCTTATTGGTATATAGTATGTCTCATATGCATCATTGCACCTAGCCCTGAAGTACCCCTACATCGCTGGCATAGGTCAAGCACACTAATTGTTCGGGCAGTCTTGATATGCATATAAGTAGTCTGGACGAAAGAGTAGTTCCACACCTTTCCTTTCCGCGTAAAGAAATTTCCAACTTATAAAAATTGATATTTTAGTATTTCTGCTTATTACTGCGCCATTAACTGCACTAATTATCGAGTTCTTAATGAATAAAGTATCATCACTGCACTCATTTAAAATATTACTGTTAAAATTCCTCCTTCTCTTTCACTTCAACAATAAATCTTCCAGTGTTGCTCACATATTTTCCCTTTTCAAAAAAATCCTGTCTACGAGGTGTTCTCCTTTCCATGCGAGCAATTGAATGCAGTTGTAAGTACAACCGTCTGCGTTCCTGTCCCTGTTCTCACGAAAACAGGTTGTGTTACAAACGTGGTAACAATGTTTCGTGGTTACCTGTAGGTGGTGGCGGTAGAGTGTTTGAAGAGGCTTTCCATAATGGACAGCGACATGCGTTGCTGTTCTGGATTCTTGTTGAGCTTCTCGGCAGTCGCAACCAACTTCTTCAAGTATCCCTTGTTGACTACATATTCCCGATTGTTTAGAGATAAGCATTCCTCCAACACTCTTCCGCACGCTAGCCGTACTGCAACTTAGCGAGCTTTAGACAGACTTCCAGGGATAACCCAGTGACAAGAGGTAATTCAAAAACAACAATGAACAGAAGAAATGATCTGTTAACAGTGATCATACACATTGTACGAAGCAGCCATATGATAACCGGTCGGAAAATTGGAAAAAGCGGCCATCGTAGTGATCTCGGTAATCATTCCAATGATGATTTAAATAGTATCGTGCGTATTTTCAAAACCATCTTCACATAGGCAGCAAAAGACTTACAAAAGTTACGAGTGAAAACAGTGCCGCCGTCAATTTTGCTCCAATTTGTTAAAAAATTCTGTTTTCAACTCCAATTTTACTTTTAAGCGTAAAATATCACCTCCCAAATAA